TAATGGTGTTTGTAAGTAGGATCTCAAGTCTGCATCTTATACAGCAATTAACCACTAAGAAGAATATATGCAGTGTGTTATTTGTTGAAACTGTACTTCCGATTTGATTTGAAACTGTCTCGTTGTTTATCAATAAAATTTTGAAAAAAATGTGAATATAAGGATTATGATTTAAATAATCTACATGCATGTTCAAACTCAACATGTTTATTTACCTGTCTGAATTCAACAGTTTATGAAGAAATGACATATTTTTGAATTGTTCTGGCAGTAAGAAAATTCTGTATAACAGTTTAACTTTATCTTAACATAACTGTTATGATTTGATCCTAATTCTTTATTGAATTATCTAGAAAAAACTCATTTATAAAGTCAGGGGCAGAGAGATAGCTCATAAGACTAAGTGCCTGCTGAGGCCAACACCGAGACTGAGGTTTGGTCCCAGGCACCCCATATTGCGCCAGCCCCACCGTCAGGCGCCCTGAGCCTTGGCCTCCAAGTCCAGCATGGTGGCGCACACCTCCAAGTCCTGGTCTGGTGGCACATACCTGCAGTCCCAGCGCTGGGGAGGTTGAAAGCAGGAGGGTCACTACGAGTCCGAGCAGCGTAGTGAGATCCTGTACCAAATACATTAGAAAATAATAAATAAGTACATAAATAAAGTCAATTATTTGGAAAGCGCTTTAAATCTCTTCATGTTTTCCTAGTCAAGCTGCTTAATATTCTTAATGTTTTCTATATCAAAGGATTTGGAAATCTTTTAATACCATGTCATATTTTATTAATTGCTAGTTTGTTAACCTAAGATGGACCATTAAAAAAAAAAAAGATGGAACACTTACAAATATTTATAAAATGCAAAACAAGTCAAATACTGAATCCATATATTTGAAATAGTTACAGAAGATACTATTTATAAGTAAAAATTAAAATTAATGGAAATTCTTGTAATCTTCACTAATTTTGATTCATTTACCTGAAAATTAGAATTCTCACTTGCGTCTTTGTTTACAGTTCTATCTGTAGTCAGCTGTGTTAATGATTAGTTAAAAGTTTTGTCATTTACAAACATAAACTTAAAGACAAACATGTACTACTGTGAAGATTTAAAAAAGATTTATATACCTTGATATGGTACTTTTAAAAAATTGAACTGTGCATATTGATTTACATAGTAGAAAGTTAGTGCCTTTAGATGAACGTGATGTTATTTATCATGAAGGAGGGTAATTTTAAGCCTGAAGTTTGAGGGGAACATGGAAGTCTGTTGAGCATGGTGTTGCACACCTGTAATCCTTGCACTTGTGAGTTTAAGGCCAGTGTACTATGAAGTGAGACCTTGCCTCGAAACACCACAAAAGAGGGTTGCTTTCACATCTGGTATTTATTACTCAAGATGTGCTCTTAAAAGTGTTTAAATGATTACAAAATTGTGCAGTCCTATGAATACTGCCAGTTTCTAATTTGTTCATCTGGCATGAGAAAATTTCAAGTTACTTTAATTTTACCTTTTGTGATTTGTTAGTGCATGTATAAGCATAAGGGAAGACAGGATAAGAAGTGTGTGGGGAATGATGGCCCCTGAGAAACAGACATATTTAATACTACATATTTGTCCATGTTTAAATTTTAGATTCTAACACCTTTCTTATTGAGAAGACTGAAATCAGATGTTGCTCTTGAAGTTCCACCTAAACGAGAAGTAGTGGTTTATGCACCACTCTCGAAGAAACAAGAAGTTTTCTATACGGCCATTGTGAATCGGACAATCGCCAACATGTTTGGATCAAGTGAGGTATAGTGCAGGTTTGAAGTATGCTGTAAATGAGACATGGTGAATAAAATTTCGTGACTGATTTCATTCTTACAGCTACTTACCTATCGTAATGACTTGTTGGATGATACTGTTTCTAAATGAAGTTAAGGCCGAAAGCAAAAGTTTTCCTAATGTTCTAGTCCTGCTGAAATTTTAAGTGGTTGTGCACTGCTTTTTGTGATCATATGGAGTGTTAAAAATTTAGATTGCTGAATCGGGTTAACCTTAGTTATGAGGCATGAAACACATTTGGAAATGTTTTGTTGACAAGCGCAGTCATTTGAGAATTACTGTTGTAAAGGTTTGCCAACTAGACCATGCCCTCCCAGCATTCGGTACCTTTACAGGAAGGTACTGACAGACTACTTGAAAGAGATAGCTGTTGTTACTACCGTATTACAAGAGATGAAGTTATGATTTAAGTTCAAAGCAGCTTTATCTTTTAATTTTTTCTCTGTTGAGTTATGAAAGTATTAACTCTTAAGATACTGTCAGTAGCTTTAGGAGAAATTAGTGTCTGGCAGTGAGATTAAGGCTTGCTGATAATCGTGTCTTTGGGAACTACTAAACTTAAAATTATTTTTTTAAACCTTACTTTTGTACAAATAAATAGTAGGCATTATTTTAATACTGCTTTGCATAGCTTTTTAAACAGATACTCCTTTACTTTTTCTCTTTTAGAAAGAAACAGTTGTGCTAAGTCCTAATGGGCGACCAAAACGGCGAACTAGAAAATCAATAAATTACAGCAAAATAGATGAGTTTCCCAATGAATTGGAAAAATTGATCAGTCAAATACAGCCAGAAATAGGCAGAGAAAGGTGTGAGTTTAAAATCTTCATGAGGATGGGAGGAAGGGGGGAAAGTAAAACCAGCTGTGTGTGTGTGCGCCAGCTCCCCGTGTGAGTGTAGTTACACGCAGCAAGCATGCACCAGGAAATAAAAGAGAAAGTGTATTCTTTCAATTGTACCTTCTTGCATTTCTCACACACATGCATTACTTTTGTGATAGGCCTGTTGGGGAAGTGAATGGCCCTCTAGAATCCGAAATAGATCTGAAGCTGCAGAACATAATGATGCTGCTTCGGAAGTGCTGTAATCATGCATATCTGATTGAATACCCTATAGACCCTGTTACGCAAGAGTTTAAGGTGACTACCGTTTAATAATTTGCTATTTTGAGATTTACAGTTTTTTTTTAAAAATACTGAATAGTGTTGCATTGCTTGGTTTATTCTTGAGTACTGTGCTGTTTTCATATGAAGATTATAAACTTCCATTGACCATGAGGCAGTCTCTTTAACTTAACAGTTCTAAATTGAGTAGAGTAAGGGCTATTTTTGCTGTCTATATTAGAGATGGTTATCACTTTGCTGGTATGCCTTTCAATATTTAGCTTGACTATTCATTGCTTAATGAACAAAAGAAAATTTAAAAAACAGTTAAAGACTTTCAAATTGAGTGAATTTGTTTTTTTCAGCACTTAATTGAAAACTAGCATAGTGCTAAACTTTTCTTAGTAACCCTTGTTTTCCCCTTGCTTAATGCATTACACTCCTAATTTAAAGCTTTAAATATCCTAATTCAAAGTAAAGCTCGTAGGCCTGGCAGTTTTGAGTCACATACCTTTTTTTTGAGGTAATACCCTATGTACTATAGAGCATTTAGCAACCCACTGGCCTCTGCATATCAGCAGTAGCCACCTTCCCAATTATGTTAACATACAGTAGCTTATAAACTCTGATGTTTCATTTCTTTTTTGGTGCAACCAGGGATTGAACTCAGGCCCTTGCCCTTGCTCTGGAAGCGCTTATTCTACTGAGCCATTTCCCCGTCTCTTAATTTCCACTAGGAATTTTAGTAGCAATTTTTAGATTTTTTTGAGATGCAGACTTGCTACATAGTTCTAACTGGCTTTGAACTAAGTAGCCCATGCTGGCTTGAACTCAAAACAGTTGTCCTGCCTTAGCTGCCCACCCAAGTGTTGGTGTTACTGGTGTGCACCACTACATCCAGCTTCTATTAGCAATTTTTATATATAGTTTACTCCATTATAAATAAATCTTAACATGCACAGTAAGTTTGAACCTACTGGAATTTTGGTATTGAGTTTGTGTGTGTGTGTATATATATATATATTTTTTTTTGTTTGATTAATGTAGAAGAATAATGAAATTTTTTAAGTTTTATAATTTTATCATTGAAAATTAAGCTATTCAGATACATTTAGAGGTGTTTCATTTTTATAAAACATTAGTAATTATAGTGACATACAGGATTTTTTGTTCACTTTTAAGATTGATGAAGAATTGGTTACAAATTCTGGAAAATTCTTGATTTTGGATCGAATGCTGCCAGAACTAAAGCGCAGAGGTCATAAGGTAGTACTTTGAGTTGTCGTTTTTATTGTTGGATTATTTATTTTATGAAATAGTAAAGACATTGAAGTGTATTAATTTAAATTTCAGGTGTTGCTTTTTTCACAAATGACACGGATGTTGGACATTTTGATGGATTATTGCCATTTTAGAAGTTTCAACTTTAGTAGGCTTGATGGGTCCATGTCCTATTCAGAGAGGGAAAAAAATGTAAGACTGCTTACGTTATATATACCACATCCTTTCTTGTAAGTCCTATCTTGATATGTGAAGTAGTATGCAAAATATACAGAAAGTTGTCAAGGGATAATAAGGTTTATGTTTCTGGTAGAATTAAAAACAAGCATTTTGATTTAGTACTAACGAGTGAAGCTTGGTTGGCATGTATGTACACAAAACACCTTTCTGCACAATGTTATACTGTCGTTGTCAGAATATTAAATAATGGGGAATTTTTTCCCCAAAATTTTCTGTCCTCTGGATTTTCTTAAGAGAATTTAAACTGTGTAGTAAAATTAAAAGAATTCTACAATAAGCAGCTATAACCTGCCAGTAAATTCTTTTGGTTTGTGTTTTTGGCACTAGGGATTAAACTCAGCCATTTAAAATGTTATCAGCTGGGGAGATCGCTCAGTGCCTTAAGTGCGTGCGTGCCTGGCAAGCACAAGGTCTGGACTTGAGTTCGATCCCAGGAACTGCGTGCCTTGCCGGCTCCGATAGGGGGTGGGGTGGCACAAGCCTGTAAGCCCTGTGCTGGGGAGGCTGGGTCAGGAAAATCACTGAGTCCAAACTGTATGTAGTGAGACCCTGTACCAAAAAAAGAATTTTTTTTCTTTTTTTAAATTTTAAGACAGTACATCACAAAGTTGTATAAGCTGTTCTCAAACTTGGGTAGGTAGGTGTACAGGCAAGCACCATTGTACCTAACACTAACATTTTTATCAGTTACCTGTGACAACATTGATCATTTGCTATATCCACTCAACATTTTATCCACTTTTGATGCATTTCAAAGTACATTACAGAGGAGAGTAGTTTCTTCAGTGACTTCTGTTAAATTGTCCAGTAAATGTTACACATATTTATAGGTTTTTGCATACATGTGCGTGTATGTCCAAATCCCTTACCAAAATAGCCAGTATTACTGTCAGCCCAGAAATGTTTCTGCGCTTGCTCTTAGTTTGTCTACCCTTTCACCTCTTTCCTGAGCAACTACTATTAGATTTTTTCACTATTTTTTAATTTAGGAGGGTTTTTTTAAGTCTTTATTTATTTATTTGGTGCAGGGTCTCGCTATACAGCTAGGACCCATAATGATCTCCCTGTCCCAGCCTCCCCAGCCCTGCAGTTACAGGCTTCACCACCACGCCTGGTTTGGGTGCCCAGCTTGAGCATGGCATGTAGGCGCTTAGACCACCGAGCTCTCTCTCCAACCTAGGTATTCTTATTTAAACTTGTGATAGATTCTTTTGGCAAAGTTTGGATTTCTTTAATAAAACATGCTTGGAAAATAAATTAAAATGAGCACAGATTCTACTAACATTGTTTTATAGATCTGAAAAGTTGAGTTGACTGTTTGTGGAAAAGCCTTTAACAGTGGTAATAGGATGGGGCCGGGGAGATAGCTCGGTGATCTAAGCACCTACCTAGCAAGTACAAGGACCTGGGTTCGATCCCCAGTACCACATGATGTGGCAGCCCTATGCCAGCCACAGAAAACGGGCGTGGTGGTGTACACCTGTAACCCCAGTGCTGGGGAGGCTGAGACAGGAGGATCACTGTGGGTCTAACCTGCATAGAGAGACTCTGTACCAAATACATAAAAATAGGGGTTTTGGGGGGGTTTTTTGTTTTTTTGTTTTTTTTTTTTTAAAGTGGCAATTAGAAACATACACAGAGGGGCTGGCAAGATAGCTCAGTGGTCTAAAGCGCCTGCTTAGGCAAGCATGAAGGGACCTGGGTTTGATCCCCAGCACCACATGCCATGCCAGCCCCGCCCCCAGGGTGGGCTGAGCTGACCATAAAAAAAAGAAATAAAGGAAACACTTTAAAAAAAGAAAAAGAAACATACACAGACAGGGGCCAAGGAGATGGCTCAGTGGAATAAGTGCTTGCCTGACAAGTGCAAGGGCCTGAGTTCAATCCCCGGTTCCACCAAAAAAAAAGGAAGGAAGGAAGGAAGGAAGGAAGGAAGGAAGGAAAAGAAACATACACAGGGAGGCTGAGACACAAAGCCAGAAAGTGAGCGCAAGCTGCACTGTGAGATCTTGTCTCAAAAGGACCAAAGAGAGACACACAGGTCTGTTGAAGTTTGTTTTGTTTGGTGGTTAGTCCTGGGAGATTGAACCTAGACCTTCCCCTTGTGCTGCATGTCTGCTCATTTATTTATTTGGGTGTGTGAGTGTGAGAGAATTTTTTTTTTTTTAATTTCTTTTTGAGGTGATCTTGCTATAGTTCAGGCTCATCTTGAACTTGTTACATAGCCCAAGCTGGCCTCAGTCGCGTGGAAGTCCTCCATCCAGCTCAGCCTTTTAAGGGCTGGCATTATAGATAGGTACCAGCGCACTTGGCCCCAGTGCTTTTCTGAGTCAGTCTTACTGGGTTGCCCAGGCTGGGTCCAAACTTGGAGTCCTCCTGCCTCAGCCTCCTATGATTACTGAGCTTACCGATGTGTATCACCAGTCCCAGATAATTTCTTTAACATATATTTTGCTTTTAGATGCACGACTTCAATACAGATCCAAATGTATTTATCTTCTTAGTAAGTACACGAGCTGGTGGCCTGGGTATCAATTTGACTGCAGCAGATACTGTTATCATTTATGACAGTGACTGGGTAAGTTGAAAATATAACAATGCTGATTATGTGCTCGTTATGAATTTTGAATCTTTTCTTGTTTTGTTTTCTTTTTTGAATGTTTTATTGCATGTATATGCTGAACTTTTGATTAACCTGTTTGGCAAGGTATCTGTTTTAGCTAAGAATCATTTGACGTGTTTTTTGCTTATAAAAATTTGAAATGTTTTCATGATAATTTATGAAGCCCTCTAGACACATAAATTGAGTTAAAGCACCATTGGAACTGTTTTTCATTGTACCATGAATGTTGACTTGTGTAAGTTTAAATGTACTTCAGCCTCATGTTGTTCGATGTTATTTCTCTCTAAGAACCCTCAGCCTGATCTTCAAGCCCAGGACAGGTGTCACAGAATTGGCCAGACAAAGCCCGTTGTTGTGTACCGGCTTGTTACAGCAAACACCATCGACCAGAAGATTGTGGAACGAGCAGCAGCCAAAAGACGGCTGGAAAAGCTCATCATCCACCGAAGTAAATGTTGCTGAAGTGGCGCTTCTTTGCTTTGGCTGTTGGTTGTAAATTTTTGTTATCATCACTGTTGCTTTCTTCTCTTCTCTTTTTTTTGGTGGAACCGGGGATTGAACTCAGACTCTCGCGCTTGCCGGGGAAGCGCTTATTCCACTGAGCCATCTCCCCGGCCCCCATTGTTACTTTCTTTATAAAAGTGCTCCTTGGTGTACCAGGATTAAATTAGCAGTGGGAAATGTGGAGCTGCTAGCAGTGCAGGTGAGTTGGTGACCTTAGAGCCTGTCTGTGATCGTCTGGTATGACACACAGGCAGGAGGAGAGGAGTCGATGTCGCGGTGAAAGACCCTAAACGCTGTCGGAGGGACCTTGGCATGACAGCAGTGCATATTTTTGATACATGCTTGCCAAAATTTGTAAGGTAACTTAAATTCAGAATATTAGTGCTATACTGATGTATTGCTTCAAGTTGAAAAGATTCTACAAGAAAGAACTTAATTGAGGGAGTTTTCTGTTGCATTTCCTAGAAAAGTTCTCTTTTTACTCATTTAATTAAAAAATTATTAAATGGATCAGTGGCTGCTTGAATGAAAGTTAAAAATTGTCAGGCCTAGAAAAGTGAAAAAAGGCATAATGATACTGAAAAATATTAGGTAGATTACGTTTCAGATAAAATTAAATTGACTTGGTGGAAAATTGACATTGTAGATGGAATTTGCATTGGGGATAAAAATAAAACCTGTCCTAATCAGATTTTTTTATAAATTTAAATGTTTCCTTGTAGCACATTCAAAATTTAAATAATGAAATACAAATTACATGTTGCTTAGAAATTAAACATACGGGGGCGTGGCCCTAGCTCAGGCCTTTAAGTGGCTGCTTCCACAAAGCTGTCAGCCTCAGGTTGCTGGAGTTCGAACCTCACAACTCTCCTGCTGGCCAAAAGTGCCCTGAAGGCATTCGAGGAACAAAAAAAAAAGAAAGAAATTAAACATACGAGGCCAGGGAAATGGCTCAGTAGACTAAGTGCTTGCCTGGTAAGCACAGGGGCCTGAGTTCAATCCCCAGTTCTGCCACACAAGAAAAAGAAATTGAACATAGGCCGGTGAAATAGCTTAGCAGACTCAGGTGCCTGCTTAGGCAAGCTCATCATGTGCCACGCCAGCCCTGCCCCCAGAGCATAGTAGCGCAGGCCTGTAATCGCAGCACTGGGCAAGCTAAAAGCAGGAGGCTCACCATGAGTCTGAGCTACGTATGAGACCCTGCAACAACCAGATAGATACGCTAAAAAAAATTGTAGTTTCAATTTAGGTAAATTTTGCCTGCTGTTATATTTTCCCTAATTCAGCTTTTAGTATTTTAAGAGATAAATTTGACAAAATATTTGGAAGTTTTTGTTTTAATTGCTGAAATTTTTTTATTGTTGCAATAGACAATCAAAATGCACAGGTGTAGAATGTTTACATTTCCCAGGATGTTTGCTTGCACACCATATGCTCCCCCAACCTCAGGAGGCAACTGTTTCTCTGGTTTCTATCCTGTAAGTTAGTGTTTTTGTTTTTGGTACTGGGAATGGAACTGCAGACCTTGTGCTACCTCAGCCCAGTTTGGCTTTTTTGTCTGTCTGTCGTTTCTTTTTTCTTTTCTTTCTTTCCCATTCATTTTATGTATATACAGTGTTCTGGGGTGTTTGTTTTTCTGTATTTAGGACAGGGTGTTGAGGGTCTCATTGCCTAGATTGGACTCATAGTGGACCTCCTGTTTTCAGTCTCCCAAGCAGTAGGATTACAGGTGCACCCACGCCCAGTCTCAATTGCCATCTCAGAGCGCCCCGGGGTGGAGCCTGCACTGCACTCTGGAATCAAACCCTGGCCTCTGCGCTCTGCCTAAGCAGGCGTTTTAGTCCTCTGAGCTATCAGGCCATCCCTCTGGGGGTTTTTTAAAGCTACTTTTTAAAAAAATTTGAGGTTCATCTATGTTAAGATTTTTATATATTTTTTTTTTTTGCTCAATCATTTTTACCCATTCTTCTATTAGTGGATGTCTAAATTGTTTCCAAATTGAGTTTGTTATGAATGAGCTGCTCGGGGTAGGTATGGGAAATTGAACTCGGGACCTTACACTTGCCAGGTAGGTGCTTTGCCAGTGAGCTAAATCCCTGGGAAATCAGGTTGCTTTTATGTAAATCATTTTAGACATAATACATTTATTTGTCCAGGGATTTAGAAAGGGTTTATTGGGGGGGCCGGGGAGATGGCTCAGTGGAATAAGCGCTTCCCTGGCAAGCACAAGGGCCTGAGTTCAATCCCTAGTTCCACCAAAAAAAAAAAAAAAGAAAGGGTTTATTGGGGCCAGGGAGATGGCTCAGTAGAATAAGCACTTCCCTGGCAAGCGCAAGGGCCTGAGTTCAATTCCCGGTTCCAGGAAGAAAAAAAAAAAATGATGTAGAAAGGGTTTATTTTTACTTATTGAAGGCTACATTTCCTAAGTGAATGTATCACTTTATATTTCCATAAGCAAAGTGCAAGAACTATAATTGCTTGTTTTCCTTACCAATGCTCACAGTTTTTGGCTTAAAAAAAGTCAGCCCTTCAGACGTGTTTTGAATATATTAAAGGAAGTTTAGCCAGGCATGATGGCACATGCTTGTAATCCCAGCACTTTAGGATGCTGAGGCAGAAAGATCCCCAGTTTGTACCCAGTCTTAGGCAGCTTAGTGACTTAGGTTCTCTATCAAAAATGTTTAAAAGAACTGAAGAAATAACAAACTTCAAAGACCCTGGATTCAATCTTCAGTACCACCAAGAAAAAAAAAATAATGTTGCTTTTTTTTCCCCCTTCCCCCTAGATCATTTCAAAGGTGGTCAGTCAGGATTAAATCAATCTAAGAATTTCCTAGATCCTAAGGAATTAATGGAATTACTAAAATCTAGAGATTATGAAAGGTAAGATTTCTTTGATTTAGTTTTTTAAAGTCTTTGTTACTACATTTTTATGAAACCTAATGAACAGTTCCATTCCTCATAGGGAGTTGGTTTATGTGTAGCATATCTTTTTTCATTCCTTTTCCTTCCCCCTCCATCTGTGGTCCTCTTCCCTTTCACAAAGATCTCGCTATTTCATGTGGCGGTTTTCATGTTTTATTTAGGCTTGTGGGTCTGAGTTACATTCTGGTCTTGAGGTGTACCCATTTATCTATTGATGGACTTAAAGGCTGTTTGCAAGATTTAGCTATTATGAATTGCACTGCCAAGTATATATTATTGTAATATGATGTCTTTACCTCTTTCAGGAAAGATACCTAGAAGGGGAATAGCAGGACCAAGTGGGATTTCTAGTTTAGTGTTTTGAAGTATATCCCGATTGCCATAATGTTCATGCTAGTTTATACTCCCACCAGCAACAAAGAAAGGTTCCTTGTTCCCCACAACCTCTCCAGCATTTGGTACTGATATCTTGCTGAGAGCCATTCTTTGTGGAGTAAGGTAGAATCTCAGTTTTCTAATTTACATTTCTCTAGTGGCCCAAGATACTAAATGTTTTTTCATTTATTTATTGACCATTTGTACTTATATTTCTTTCTTTCTTTTCTTTTTTTTTTTTTTGGGGAACTGAGGATTGAACTCAGGACCTAGTGCTATCTCCCCGGCCCCTGTACTTCTATTTCTGAAAAATGTTAATACATTTTAGTTGTCTGATTTTCTTTTGGATTTGGTCTTTTTTTTTGAGGGATCTATTTGTATTGAGTTCTTCGTATATTCTAGGTTATTCCTATATCTGAGGAATAGTTTGCAAATTTTTTTCCATTCTATAGATTATCTTCATTTTGTTGGTTGTTTCCTTCATTGTGCTGAAGCTTTTTCATTTGGTACAGTCTCATTTATTGATTCCCCGGTAGTATTTCCTGTGCAGCTAAGATTCTGTTCAGAAATTCCTTGCCTTTGCCTATGCCTTTGCCTATCTCTTAAAAGTTTCACTAATTTCAAGGCTGGGGAGATAGCAGCATAAGCTCCTGCCTGGCAAGCATAAGGTCCTGAGTTTGATCCCTGGTACCAAAAAAAAGTTCTACCAGTTTCATCTTCCATCAGATTCTGTTTTAGCATTTAGATCTTGATCCTTTTTTACTTTAGGTTAGTATATAGGTTCAGAATCAATCTTTTGCATTTAGATAGCCAATTTTCCCATCACCATTTGCTAAAGAGACTATCTAGAGATAGTCTGGTGTATACTTTTGGCCCCTGAATCTGGGATTGTTTTTTCATCCCCTGTTATGTTCCATTGTCCATCCGTTTTGTGACACCATGGCTTTGTTAATATATCTTGGGGGTTCAGCGTTGTGTTACCTCTTGCTTTGTTTTCTTTGCTCAGGATTGTTTTTGATGTTGGCTGTCTTCTGGTTCCATATGAATTTTAGAGATATTCTCTATTCCTGTGAGGAATGCTGTTCATAGTTCGATTGAGATTGTGTTAAATCCTCATCAGGTTTGGAAGTTCAACTTTGAAAATGCAGTATGATCATTCTGACAGTGTTGGTTCTGTATATCCAGAAATGGGTATCTTTGCATTTTCTGATGCCCTTCTTGATTTTTTTTTCTTTTTCCAGAGGACTCTAGCTATCGTTATAGAGGTCTTCCACTTTCTTGGTCAATTGCTAAGTTTTTAATTTTTTGTGATGTTACTGTGAGTGATATTTTCCCTTTTCTTTTTAAGTTTTAGAAAAGTATGGATAGATTTATTCAAATGCACTTGATGACTGTGTTTTACAGGGAAATAAAAGGATCAAGAGAGAAAGTCATCAGTGATAAAGATCTGCAGTTGTTGTTAGACCGAAGTGACCTTATTGGTAAGTACCTTTCATGCTTTGTTTTGTTTTGTTTTATGATTTTGGTACAGGGTCTCACTAGGCAGCTCAGACTTGCAGTGACCCTCCTGATTTCAGCCTCCCCAGCGCTGGGATCACAGGCGTGCGCCACCACACCAGTCTCAGTGGCCAGCACGACATGCGGCTCCAGTGATCGAGCCCCGTCCCTGTGCTTGCCTAAGCAGGCGCTTAGTTCACTGCACTATCTTGCTGCCCCTCCTGCTTTTATTTTTTGTGGAAACTTGGAAGCACACACATAAAGGATAGTGATAGTTTATTTGGTCGCAATAGTTAACAGCATTTAGACAGTCTTTATTTATTGTCATTTCTCTCTTTGGTATCAGAATCGAACTCTGGACCGTGTGCTTGCCAGGCAAGTGCTTATGCCACCAAGCTACATATCCCCCCCCCATTGTTGTCCCGTTTTCAGCCTCCCAAGCACTGAGATTAAAAGTGCATGCCACTGTGCCCAGTCATCGCCTTCTTGGCATGCCCCTGGGTTGGGGCCCACGTGGCATGCTGGAGATCAAACCCAGCCACTGCACTCTGCCTAAGCAGGCGCTTTAGTCCCCTGAGCTATCTGGCCAGCCCTGTTGTGCATCTTTTATTAAGAAGGACATGTTTGTAAACAGCAACTTTGTTGTTACTGCATTTAAGAGAATTAACAGTAATACCTTAATTTCATTTATTATTTAGTCCATTCCAATTTCCCAAAATGTTAAGTTTTTACAGTTTGTACCAGGATCCAAATTGCATTGATTGCTGTTTTTCTTTGTTTATAATATGACCTCCGTTTTGTTTTTCCATGTCATTGATTTGTTGGTGAGCTAAGCTACTTACCCAATACAAAAACTATATCCTGGAATTTATTTTTCCATTTTATTTTTATGTTATCATTTAGTTGGTTGCTCAAACCGTGTAACATTCATGTAGTCCATAAATTATGTTTATGTAAATAGTTCTAGATGTTTTGTTAGGCTTAAGTGCCATCAGGGCTGGCCAAATAGCTCATTATCCACTGAGTCATTTGGCCAGCCCTAACTTAGAGCTGTTATTTCTTCAAGGTTTGTAAAATGGCTTTTTTCTTTTGCCTTACCCCATCAGTAGTTAGAATTTGTCTATTAAGAACGTGCCCTTAGGGCTGGCCAGATAGCTCAGCGAACCAAAGCACCTGCTTTGGTGCAGAGGCTGGGGTTTGATCAGCAGAGTACAGAGACTGGGGTTTGATCCTCAGCTTGCTGTGACACACACACACACACACACACACACACACACACCCCTGCGCGCTGAGACTAGGCGTGGTGGTGCGTGCCTTTGATCCTCAGCTTGCTGTGACACACACACACACACACACACACACACACACACACCCCCCTGCGCGCTGAGACTAGGCATGGTGGTGCGTGCCTTTGATCCTCAGCTTGCTGTGACACACACACACACACCTGTGCGCTGAGCCTAGGCGTGGTGGTGTGTGCCTGTAATCCCAGCACATGGGAGGCTGAAAACAGAATCTTTACAAGTCTGATCTATGTAGTGAGACCCTGTACATCCTGTAGACCCTGCCCTAAATTAAAAATTAAAGAAAGGGCCGGGGAGATGGCTCCGTGGAATAGCGCTTCCCTGGTAAGCACAAGGGCCTGGGTTCAATCGCTGGTTCCACCAAAAAAATAAAGAAAGGAAAGAACTTGTCCTTAATTCTTTGTATGCTACTTACTTTACAGCATGCAGCTAATCTGTGCCTTTTGTATTTATATTTTCTATGATAGAAGTATCGTAATATGGTATGCTGGAGTTCATCTTTTCCCTTTTTCCTCAGTGGACAAAACATTTTCCTAGTAGCTTAAAGTTGGTAATGATTTTTTTTTTTTT